TTTCATTGTTTCTCCACATTCATAGAGTTTCATTTTGGAAGTGGATGCCAATCCTGCTTCCAAGCTTATTTTAATCAGGAAGCTCTACCAAACACTGTCCACCATGGGTAACAATTATTGCATTTGACACATCAGTGTCACAGTGTTTAGCATCACAGTAACCACAAGTTACTTCTGTACAGCAAGTAGACAGACCAGTGCTATACCACTTAGAAGAATGTTTGACAAAACCCAACTAAAACCAGGCCCAAACTTGCATATGAATAATTGATATCTATTACGTAGTACCCCCCCATCCCCTGCCTTATTGACTGCTAATATTGAACAGCTTCATTTTGTCTTTCTACAGATAGTCAGTCTGATTTCATTGTATTCCATTAGGTGAGGTTCATATCACTGTTTATGATATTTTAAGGTATTGTTGTTATGTGTTAACTCATAGCAACCCTGTGAACAACAGATTAAACCCTGTTCTATCCTGTTCCATCCTCACCATTTCTGATACACTTGAGCCCATTGCCGCAGTCACTGTGTCATTTCATCTTGTTGGGGATCTTATTCTCTTTCACTGACCCTCTACTGAGGAAAAATTATCTGGCATTCATAAAGAAAAGAACAATTTCAAGATCTATCCTAAAGTACAGTGTTGTGAGTGATAGGATTATATCCACCTGCATGCAAGGAGAACCTGTTAACACAATTATTATTCAAATATATGCATCAACAACTAAGGCCAAAGAGGAGGAAATTAAGGATCTCTGTCAACTTTTGCAGTCAAGTTCCATTAATAATTATTGGAGATTAAAAATTATTGGAAACAATGAAGGAATGGTAGTCAGAAAGTATGGACTTGGTGATGGAAATGAGATGGGAGAGCAAATGATTGAATTTTGTATATTCAGTGATTTATTCATAGCAAATACCTTTTTAAAGACACAAACAGCAACTTTACACATACGCCTCACTTGACAGTCTGCAGAGCAATAAGATTGACTCCATCTGTGGAAAGAATCATTGAAGAAGCTCAATTATCAGGAGTCAGTACCAGACCATGTGTAGACTGTGAAACAGATCAATTATAAAAAATATTAGCAATGAATAAATCCTTAAGTGTAAAAAATTTCATCTTTTGATCTTCAGCCTCATTTCTGTCACCAAGGCCATGTTTTTCAACTATGAGATCTTAGAGGCAATAATGGTGAAACTTAATCTTAATATTAATGTGGCATGTTGTCAGGATGAAAAAGACATTAGGCTAGAAAAGTTGGAGAGTTAAAAAAAAAGTTGGAGAGTTAGAGGAAGACCCTCAACAAGATGAATTGATCCAGTGACTGTAACAATGAGTATGAGCATAGAGGATGTTGCAAGATAGGACAAGGTTCAGATCTGTTGTTTGTGTGGTCTCTATGAATCAAAGTTGACTCAGTCACCTATCAACTACCATCCTTCTTGGATTCCAGTTTTTGCATTCTGTTGTTGGTGGTGTTATATGCCATCAAGTCGTTTGTGACTCATAGCGACCCTATGTACAACATTCCTAAATCCTGCTCTGTCCTTTGCCAATCTCACTGTTTGCGACATGCCTATCTCCATTACCCCAATGATGGAATCAATACATCTCATTGAGGCTCTTCCTCTCTTGCACTGTCCCTCCACCCTCCCAAGCATGTTTGCCCTCTCCAACGACCAGTCCCTCCTTGCAACATGTCCAAAGTATGTCAGACGAAGCTTCAGAATCCTTGCCTCCAAGGAGCAGCCTGGCTTCACCCTCTCCAGGACGAACTTGTTTGTTCTCTTAGCAGTCCATGGTATATTCAATACTCTTCTCCAGAACCACAGCTCAAAGGCATCAA